TCAATTTTATTTAATAAAGTATATATATATATATATATATATATATATATATATATATATATATATATATATATATATTTTTTTTTTTTTTTTTTAATTATTTCTGAAATTTGTTTTTGAATAATTGTTTTTAATCATTATTGAATAAAAATAATAATGATTTTTTTTATTTTTAAAAATTTCTAGAGTAAACAAAAAATATTAACATTACACAAACCCATGTTAATTATTTAAACAACAATTTTGTTTTGAATAACAAAGAAAAACTTAGGTTTTTAAATATTTTTTAAATTTATCTTGCTTAGCGTTTCAACTTGCGTTTTATAAAAATATAAAAAAGTTTTGTCTGCTTTGAGCATGTTTTTGATACATAGTTTAGAACGCGTTTGCCAGGAATTTAATTCATAAATTTTTATGTTATTGTGAAAATATTTTACTTTTTAAACAAATCACAAAGAAACAGAGCTATAGAAAAAAATCGTTTTTAACGATTAAATTTTTTTTTTTTAAAATTTTAGGAAATTAAAAAAAAAAAAATTAAATTAAATATAAAAGTTCTTATTATGCAAACTCTTTTGTTAATTATTCTTAAAACAAAAAAACAATTACTTCTATGCCAAACTTTAATCGTGCAAACTTAAAAAAATACTCAACTGAAATAATTTAAGTATATTTAATAATTTGAATTGTATCTATTTATAATAAACGTTCGTAAAAATTTGTTTATTAAAAATTAAGTTCCTTAACTTATAAACAAACTCAAAAGTATTTTCATTCTACGTATAATTACAACTCTTTTTTTCGTTTGTAAGCAATTAACTTGGAATAATAAAATAAAAAAAAAGAATAAATTTGAGGTAATCTTTGATAAGAACAAAAATTTAATTTATTTATTGAACTATATTTTTATTTTTATTTGTATACCAACTTAAATAAAATATAATAACATGTTAAAATATTTTAACATGACTTGTGTCATTTATAAACTGTAGGGCAGCTGCCCTTACGGCACCATTGGTTTTGGATTATATTTTATTTTGATGAAAATCACATAACTTACATTTGATTTTAATAACGTAAGTCTTCTCATTTTTTTTATGATCATCGCATCGGCAAAGCATCGGCAAAGTCCCAATATTTAAAAGTTTTTAAAGTAAATCTTTTGTCCTTCAAAATACAATCCATATTCGAACTTTAAACAATTTAAAGAGAATAGAAATATACAAGGTTTTTATATACTAGTTTGTCTTCTTTTATAAAGAAAAATACATATTTGTTAGTAAAAAATAGAAACTGTCATTAAACTAAAACGTGCCTTAGTATTTATTTAACGGAATCTGTAATGTGCGCGTGCATAATGAAACCTCCGTTATATAAATATATTCAACGTAATATTAGTGTCATCAGCGGATGTTATAGTTTAATAGTAATTTATTTACTTTATAATATAACTTGATTTATGAAAAAAACTTATTGAATCGCATGCAGAAGAAATTTAATAAATTGTCTTCATTCAAATATTGCGAGTAACAGGTAATTTTTTTTCTTCTGTGCCTCCCCCCTCCCCCCGCATAACTTAAAGGTAAAAGTATCTATATACCTTTAACTAATAAGAAAAGCAAAGACATTTTTTTAATTATCTCGAAAAAATGTCTTGATATTTTTGTCATCATGATAACAAAAATATTAAGACATTTTTTCGAGATATTAAAAAAAATGTCAATCCTTAATTACAAATTTTTTTGCAAATGTTTTTAATTATAAATTTAGTAAAAAATTCTTAAAAAATCTATATTACAAAAAACATTTATATTCTGTATTAATAAATATGGAATATAGATTTTTTTAAAGTTTTTTACTTAAAACTTTAAAAAATTACTACTTTTTATTAAAAACATTGCAAAAAATTTGTAGTTAAGGATTGACAAACAATTTTTCATGTTGCTAAATATTTGGATAAAAAGTTTAGCGTCAAATTAATTGCTATAAAAAGGAAAGATATATCGCGATGAAAAGTTACAACAATTATTTTTAAAGTAAATTCCTTTTTTTAATAAATATCTTTACATATCGTTATATAAAAGTTAATGTGGTTTTTTTAAAAATTAATTACTTCTTTAATGTTACCACTAATTTAAAAGTTAAAAAATGATAAAAAGTAGCTTAACCAAAATAGCTCTACGCGTACGTAAAAATTGCTTAAGGCCTACGTAAATCGCTCTAGGCGTAACACTTTAAAACAAGGCCTGGTATAGGCCCTAGCCAAGCATGTGACTATTGAAGTCTTTGCCAATCAAAGGATAATAGCCATTAAACTCTTTTTTTAGCGCATTTCTTAAATCATTTAAACATCTAAACAGTTGTGGTCAAGTTGTCAAAAAATAAAATTATTTGTGTGGCCAGCAATAGTGCTTAATCGCACACCATTCCTGTTCAAGCCTGAAATCAGGAATGATGTTCCAGGAAAATAACTAGACAAATAAGAATTTTTGGAGCACCTAAGAACAGTCACAGTAAAAGGATGAGACTTAATTGAATGATGAGTAACATGAAAATGAATTTTAGTAGGTAGCACAAAAGACGCTAGCACTTTAGAGCAGTGCCCATTGTAGTATTTATTAAAAGAGAAAGAGAAGTAATATTACAACAATGTGATAATGGTTGGAGGTTGGCTATGGTTCAACTATGTTTAATATGCGTTTTTGCATTGTCTAAAAGAGAAAGGGCACCATTCGAAAATTTGCTCCAGATATGGCAGCAATAGATGGATTTGAGATTGATAGAGATAAAGAATAGAATCCTGAGTAAGAAAGTGGCGAGCAAAATAAAAAGATGCAACTTTAGCAGATGCTAATTTTGAAATTGATTTGATATTGATTTGCAATCGATTTCCAAGAAAGATCAGAGGAAAAGTTAATCCTAGAAGATGAAGGGTATTTGAAAACGATTAGCTCTAGATTATTTGAAAACGGTTAGCTTCAAAAAATTGGGTTTTATCTGAGTTGAGATTCTCCAGCCACTAAGAGCTCAAATGCCCCCTCCAAGCAATCGGGGAGTGTTGGCTTCTTATCAAGTCAAGAATAAATGGTAGTATCATCAGCGAACAATGCCACCTTAGATGTAAGAATTTCTGGGATATCGCTAATATAAATTAAAGAGTGTAAGGCCAAGGATAGAACCTTGGTTAACTCCTAAAGTTACAGGATATGAAGAGGAGTGCTGTTCATCAAGGACAAATTTTATACTACGATTGGTAAGGAAAGATTAAATAATCTTAAAAATGTTACTTGATACTCTGTAAGAAGAAAGTAAGGCTATCACTCTTGACATATTTAAATCAAAAGCTTTAGAAATGTCGAGAGCATTAGTCTTAGCCTCTCCACATTTATCTTAATATTGATAAAACCTATCTGTAATTACTGTTAACAAATAAGCAGTAGAACGAGAAGATCAAAATCCATTCAAACAGAACCCATGCATTGAGTCATAAAGATCCAGCATTCAACATCCTAAACTGGAAACAATGTATTATAAATACATCTACGCCAGCCTAATTGATGAAGAAGGAGTATGAGACTGATTAACAAATAGAATCTATTTATCTCTTAAGTCTTTAAGACAGCAGCCAGATATGTTTAACATCAAGATGTTATTATATGATAAGATTTATTATTGAGTTGCCATCTCTAGAATTGAAGAACGTGAAGCAGGTTGTATTGGGTTACATGTTAACAGTAGCAGGATATCCTGACTTGATCAGAAAGATTCATTTGATGGAAAGTTACCCCTAAAGTCTTAGCCTAGGAGACCTTCTAGAAGACAATAGCTGGGTACAGTAAACATTTAAAGATGAGTATTTTTATTGAGACATCATTTCTAGCTTTTTCTTAACGCCTTATTTCTAGCTTTTTTTTAGAGCCCCAAAGCAGGGAAATATTAAGTCAGAGTTTGTATCTCCTTTTATATTCGCTCCTTGATTTATGTCTTGTCTCTAATTCTAGCTTGTGTTCAGTTTCTTATTTTTCTCCATAAGTTGGTTCTGTCCATGCAATGATCTCTATAAATCTTTGATTTCATACTTCTTCTTCAAACTGGTCCTATCATCGCACTACTTACTACTTCCCTAAAGCTGGTTGGGATTCCGTCTGTGGTATTCTTTTTGATGGTACTTAGTCTGATGACTTTTCTCTTTCCACTGATAAATGTGCCTCTTACATAACCTCCTAGATCCATGTAGGAATGTAAGTTTTTATTCCTTCTTGTTGGCAAGAAGTCAAGCCTCATTCTACTCCATGGTTTTCACCTTCTTTTGTAGTTACGATATCTAATCGTAATCATTTTTTTCATCTTTTTCAAAAGAACAACTCTGTTGTGAACAAATGCCTATTTATTATTGCAAGAAGTCAATGCAAAATGGTGCTAAGTCTAACTATTCTCATTTCACCAAATCTTGCATCTTATCTCAGAAGTTATGCTCTAGAGACTTCGGAAAATCTTCAACAGGGTCTTCAACAAAGGTAGGTTTAACATTCCATCTCTCATTCATGGGACTGATCTTATTACCTCTCCAAAGAATAAGGCAGAACTATTTGCAAAAAACTCTTCTTCTAATTCGACTTTCAAATCTTATGGCCATACTCTTCTTTCTATTCCAGTTAAACAGACTAACCCATTGTTAGATATTTAAATCACTTCAGCTTTTTTGCCTGGAAATGTGAATTATGCAAGCAAGACATGAGGCAAGCATTATTAGTTTACATGTTACCAATAGCAGGCTGATCACGATGATCTCGAACATGACATAACCTGGAATATTTAAAAGAAGTTACTTCCTTAAGCAGTACTTTAAAATATTGAACTGGATATTTTGGAAATGCATTAGGAAAAACATTATATCTAAAAAATAATAGAATAAATATAATACTACTAAAAATATTGTTGTTACTTCTAATTGTATTTTTCGTGATTTTATATTTGTTAAGTAATCACTCCTTTTTTAGCTTGGGATTAAGATAAGTATGTCACATGAACGGGAACCCTTGGGAACAGGTACTATAATTTATTTTTTATATTTTTATTTTCAGCAAATTTAAAAATGTTTTATGAAAATAAGTGTTTATTGAAAATTATAGGTTTTAAAAAATTTAATTTTTAGCTGGTCCGTTAGCGCTTGCTAGGCATTGGCTTGAAGAATCAACAGAACCCTTTTTTGTTTTAAATAGTGACATAACATGTGAATACCCTTTTGAAGAGATGATTAATTTTCATAAGAAGCATGGCAAAGAAGGAACACTAGTTGTAAGTTTTTTTTAATAAACAATAACAACAACAACAGTACCAATAAACAAAAAACAGCATCTACAACTGTACCAATAAACCAGCAAATAAAATAGAGAATTGCTTGTGTCAATGGGATAAATAAGTGTTTTTAAAGTTGTTTTTGTTTTGTTTAAAAAAGTTTCAATACGAGTAAAATTTATTTTGAAATGATCCAAATATTTAAACACATTAAAATTTAATAGTCTTAATTGGTGATGTGTTTAAAAAAATTTACAATAAAAATTTAAAAATACATGCTTCACTTTGTTTTTATGTTTGATTAATTGGTTAATTTTTAATAATGAGTAATTTTATTATTCTTTTGGGCATTTTACACATTTTTGAATCTTTTACTCGCATATTTACATCATAAGTTTTCTTGTTTTTCATCCCAATAATTTTTTGCTGTTATGGTCTTTTGCAGAAATTTGAAATAAATTCTTGTTCCTTTTTGTATAAATGACATTTATAAAAAAGTATTTAATACATTTGTAATATTTGAATATTTGCCGTTAGATTTATTTTTACAACTTTAAAAGATTTTTAACTAAACTAAATAAATTTTAACATTTTTTTTACATTCAGAATCAGAATTGAACCTGGAAAACCTAGAAAATTAGTTAATTTTGGCTAAAGCCATGGAAATTTTTTTAACAAATCAGATAGTAAAAATTCTAGGAATTCCTTTTGAGAAATACAATTCTGTTGGTGAAGGGAATTCTATATGAGGACTCATTTTACAATACAATCATATCTATCATTTGTTTCATACTTTGTTGTTGTATTTTTAGAATAAGAATAATGAGTAAAATAGATAAAAATAGCTAATAGTAAACTAATAAAGTTAAAAAAAGACAGTTATCTTAAGTTTAATTCTTGGGAGATTGGAGGGAAAGATAATACCCAGGCTAAATACAAACTTTGGCATAAAGTATTTGAACTTTCCAACCTTGGTATCCAAAAAACTAAAAAGTCACTAAAAAGACAAGAAGAATGTTTATTGTGAGTAATAATATTTCCTGTTTTTTTAAATTGTTTGCTGCTAAAACAGACAATTCACCAGGTTTAATGGAGGATTCTGGTCATTTTTATGGGAGAGTTTCATTTGAATATTCAGTTTTAGTGCAAGTAATAACTATTAGTTCCTCAACTTGATGAAGCAACAAATCTTTGAAACTCATTCCATTAAGTTTTAAAAAAATCTGTGCAGAATATTAAATCAACTAGTTGGGAAATTAAAAAGCTATTTAATTTTATGATTTTCCTGCTATTGCTATCCTGCTCTAAGTGACTTTATCAGTATCACTGAAAGCTCTGTCTTCCCACCTTCATTTTGCACAAACACTTTAAAACCTCAACTCCCTCTCTGCCCAGATTACTTAAAAAATAAAAGTTGTCTTCAATTCTGAATTTCAAAAAACCTTTTACTCCAAATGCCGCTAGTAACAGTTATTTGTTTTGAACTTCTTGCTTAGCTTAGTAAAAATTTGTAATATTTAGGATAATAAAAAACTCAAGCTAGGATCTTGTTTTTTTTTTTAAATATAACTTTAAGAAAAACTCTGTTAAAAAATCACTTATTAGTTATTCTGTTAATAAATATGTTAAAAAATCAGTTATTGGTTTTTTGGTAGTAAGTATTGGTATTATATTGAAAAATAGTTTTTAAAATTGTTCTTCAAAATCCTTTATTGTCACAAGTTGAGATTTCAAAATTGACTTGTGTTTTGCTTTCTTTAGTTAGGTTTATTTTGTGATTATATAAACACACTCAATCTATTGAAAGAGATACTGAATGTAAAAAAAACACTCAATTTTATACTCCTGTCTTGACAAAAAGTCTTCACTTTTTGATTGCTTGGAACGAGCAGCTAATCTTTTATCTGATCTCTCTATTCTGTATTAGGTTGGGGCAAGCAGTGGTTTATAGATTTAAAATTCAGTTACTGCAAACAATTATTGCAATATTGTTAAAAAGCGGCCTTCTTGCTCTAAGACAAGGTCCAAAAGCGCATTGTAATTGTATAAATTGGATCTGATTCATCAGCCAATCTTGAGGTACTCTCCCATCATTGTAAGGTTGTATCTTTTTCTTTTTTCTACAATTGCTATTATGGTCACTGCTTAAACAAGCCATCATCTTTAGTTTGATCAACCAAAACTCATTCTCAATTGCTTGTCATTCAGCAAAGTCGCATCATTTTACTGTATCTGTCCCTTGATTCAACTTTAATCTCCATGTTACCCTCCATGCTATAAAAATTTTTCTTTTTATTTTTTCCTCGCTCATCAACAAAAGCTCAAAACTCTCACCCATTTTCTGACTTATACAACCTACAACTTTTTAAGTCTTCAGTTAACCCTTTTCTTTCTCTTTAACCCTATCTTTTGTTTTTTAGTAACAAATAACTTAATAGTGGTGTTTGCAATCTTGTCAGAAGTGAATTTGTTTAAATTACAAATAAATATATGCCAGTATTTAATAAATAGTAAATGTATGCATAAATTTAGTATATATTAAGTATTATAATTTTTTTCCTAACCCCAGATTTTAAACCCCTGCTAAATCTTATAATTTTGCTGGGGATTGGGCCGGGTTTGTAAAAAATCCCATTTTTAGATAGGGCTAGGACCTTGGTCACTTTTACTTAAAACTACATAAAACTACTGGTCATTGATTCCTTGAACAAAATATGACAAATTAAAACTAAATCTAAAAAAATATGCGCTTGGTAGAAAAATATGTTTTTTAATAATACTTTTTAAATTGATTTTTTAATTCATATTAACGTCATATTAAAACAAATTTTTCTGTTGCTGAATGTTTTGATTAAAAAGGTATTTACTTATTAAAAAATTAAACTTTTTTTTATTCTTGTCTAATTTTCTTCTATTTGCAATTAATGAGTATATTTTACCTAATTGTCATTTTATTTTTTGTAAGAACGGTGTACAGTTTTTAAAATGTTTTTTAATGTAATATATTATGCTACATAAAATATTATTTATAATAGACTTATTAGATATTAAAATAAACTTGAGCAAAATCATAACAAGACCTTGATATTTAAAAGTTTTCTGGATGAAAAGACTTAGCCTTTTGTATCCATTTATTATATTTGGAGTATGGACTTCTGTAACCGTCAATTTTGAACACAAATTAGTTCAAAAGTAAAGTCCGTCAACCACAAAATAAAGTTAACGTTATTGTTTAAATTAATGTAAAAATTAATATATAATAACTAAATAATATACAAAATAATAATAAAAAATTAATTTAAGAGAACTAGATTTGAGGTGGGAAAGATTCAACAGCATGAAAACTAGATAGAATAGAAGCTAGTTTTCAGCTTCTATTGTCAGTTTTCTATCTAGTTTTCAGCATGAAAACTAGATAGAAAACTGACAATAGAAGGCTTGTTTCAAACAAGATTTATACATTCTCTAAACTTTCTATAGGTAACTTTATTACATGATGCTCAATTAATTTGTTTGACTCTCTAAATCTACCAAAAGAATTCTTGACATCGTCTCCTAAAACTTGGGCTAATCGTGATGACTACAAGGTTGCTTGTAAGATTGTTCGTGCCATGAAAGTGGTTAATGACTGCAGAACGGGCAGTTAAATTAGCCACTGACTTTAATGAAGTTTTGACGAAAAATATCAATCAGCGTCAGCTTCTTTACCAAGTTGTTGAGTATCATAGAAAAAAATTTCAACTGAAGCTACATAATAAGCCATAATCATTCTAAAAAACGCAATTTATTCTATTCAAATATGCATACATATAATATGAACTAAATATATAGTTACAAGCCTTCCCAGGAAAGGCGTGCGGTTTTTTGTTTCGTATGACCACACGCGATTAGATAATTTTAAAAAACGTGAACACGGCCGTTTGCAAGTTTTATAATAACGCTGAAAAAGTTTCAAAAACAAAAAAAACAAAACTAACAAAATAAAAAGAGATTGAAATAGAAAAAAATAAAAACAAATTAATAATTTAAATAATTTGTGTACTGTTTTTATTTTTGTTTCTTTAGAGTTACATTCAGCAACAAAATTTGATAAGGCGAAGCAAAAAAAATTTGAAGTCTACAATAAAAAGAATGATTTTCCTTTTCTTAATTTTTTTTTAAGAGGAAAGTAAAAAAAAAAAAATTTTAAAGTGTTTGTAAAATTTATTTTTATAATTTTAATGTAGCAACAAGGATTGAATTAAGCGAATGCAAAACGCAAAATCTGGAAAAATATCTAGCATTAAAAATTTTAGTTTATACAAAACTGTGTTCCTTGTTTATAAGGGGAGAATTAACTTAAATTTGTTAGAGAAAAAATAAAAAATAAAACAATAAACTTACAAATGCAAAAGTAAGAACATTCTAGTCACTAACTGCATTACAAAAGTAATAACACTATAATAGTGTTTTTACTTTTATAACGCACTTATAACTTTTAAAATCCATTCTTTGTTCAAGCAACATTAGTATTCCCAAATTTTAATTGAAGTAGAAAAATATCTAGAAGAATAAAGTGGATTTTCAAATAATATTAAAACTAAAGTAACTTATAAAATCGTGACAGACAACTTTATGAAAATGTGTCGTATTGAAAGTTTAGCATTATGACAAACGTTACTAATAGACCGTAAAAACGCACGTTAATTTTAGAAGTAACCAATAAAAATTTTTTATTGGTTGATTTTAAAATTAATGCGCGTTTTTGCATAACGTTTTTAATAATGCTATACTTTTTATAAAGTACTTTTTTATAACGTTGTTTAAGTGATCTGTGAAAGTTCCTTAAATTTTTAATAATATTTGAATATCCACTTTATTTTTTCTAGATGCTTTTCTACTTTTATTAAATGTTTGGAATTAATAATGTTGTTTGAACAAAGAATGAACTTTAAAAGTAATAAGTGCTTTATAAATGTAATAACACTATTATAGTTTTATTACTTTTATATTGCAGTTAG